GTGTATCTTTCCATGTTCTGGTGGAAGATTCATTCATACGTTGGGTGGTGGAGAGCGAAGGGCCGATGAATCAGGTAAGCACGTAACGTATCTCCGGAACCTTTTTTTTTTTTTTTTGGAGAATCTCTGAACAAATGAGACTGAATCTTCCGCTTGAACATGGAAAGTTACATTGCCATATATGGGCCTCGCTGCACTACTCTGGAAATGTGCAAAACGAGAGTGAATCTGGCGCTAGAATATGGAAAGATACACCGCCAATATTTTTGTCTTGTTGTGCATGTCGAGAGTTGTGCAGCGAGCCCGTTGGTGAACATTACCGTTGAGGTTCCGGGCTTCACTCGTGCAAAGAATTTCTGATGTTCTTCCTTTACGTTTTTTTATTTTTATTAAAAAAACAAATTCCAGGAAAAACGGCTGTCCGTTCCGTCGTTTTCTACTTCAGAAGTAATAAGAAGAATCTGGCCTGCAAGAACCCTACCATACAGACTGCACTTACCGTACAGGTTGGACGCGCCGGGCGACACTCATGCAAAGAAATTCTGATTTTCTTCCCTTACATTTTTTTCTTTTTATTAAAAAAAAAAATTCAGGAAAAACGGCGGGCTGGGGGGACAGTCCAACAACAAAATTAAAGAACCGACTTCCCCCCCCTAGACTTCGAATCAGGTTCAGACTGTTCAAAATAAGAAAAGAAGTACGGGCCTTCGCGCCCGTTTTCGTAATTTTCCTAGGACCCCCCCGAACCCCGAAAACCGAACCGACAAAATTTTTTTTTTTTGGTACCCTGCAATTTCGACCATGCGCCGCGCGTCGTGGGGGCGCCACTTGCGCGCTGCGGCCTGCGCCGCACGTGCGCAAGTGCCGCGCACGACGTGTGCCGCAAGTATGCCGCTAACCTACTGAGGTCGTACTGCAATCGTACTGCAGTTAGTCCACCACTTGGCTCACCATTTGCCCACTTGCCTGACCTTCTAGAAGGGCTACAGCTTAGACTTCTGGAACTCGCTAAGACTTCTATTCTACAGATCTACAGATCGAACCCCTGCTACCTAACCCCTGCTACCTACGGGCCCTACAACAGTCTACTAACTTTTACAAATACACAGGTCGTGGGTTCAAACCTTGGGGTCGACACAGATACTGTACACTGGTAGAGTAAGGGCTAGGGATCGAGCCCTGGGGTCTGCATCTGCTACTGCAAAAGGTGAAAACCGTTTCACTCCCGCTGTCCTAAATTTGAGGTCCTCCTACAATATCTTAGTCCAAGGCAGGACCTTTACCCTTCCTATCACGTTCATATGCTCTGACTATGTCGGGAGCTGTTTCTAGAAGTTCTGTTCTAGTAAACCAGCGGTCGTCGTCGGGTTCCTGATATGCAAATCGGACTTTGTACTGTTTTTGTGGACGACCTCTACCTCCTGTCCTAAACACATCTTCATCTACAATGCCGTCAATGTCGTATCTTCCATCCATATCCGGAGGGATCATGGATCTTCTTGAAGGGAACTGTTGACTAGTGACACACGGCAATAGCTTTGATGCATGGAATACAGGGTAGGTGTGGAGGTGTGCAGGAATCTCTATTGTGTAGGACGGCCCATCCTCTCCGCCCTTGACTTCTAGAACTGGCCATAGTCCTCTATACGCTGGCAGTAACTTCTGTGAAATGTTCTCCTCAGGAGCAAACTCTTTGGACTTGACCCAGACTAAGTCACCTACTTGAAACTGAGACGGGCGACAGTGCTTGTTTGCCCGTTCTATCATTCTGTGTTGGGCCTTCCCGAGGTTCTCAACAACTGTAGCTAGCTCTCTCTCGTGCTGTATCGCAAACTCCCTGGTTCCGGGCGGTAGCCTATGAATCTGATCCTGGGTAAGTCCCTCAAACGGTCTGCGGGGTCTAAAGGACTTGTGTAACTCGTTGGGAGTGCGACAGGTAGACAAATGCACGCTGTTATTGTATGCGCTGGCTACCTTGGGCAACATCTCGTCCCAATTGACTTGATCCGGTCTAATATACATGCGCAGAACTTGCTGCAGGATTTTGTTCATCTGTTCTGTCTGACCGTTGGTCTCTGGATGACGGCCAGATGACATTAACAACTTTGACCCATAGACTTTCATCAGTTCCTGCCAGTTCTGGCTGGTGAAGTGGGTGTCTCTATCACTAACAATAGACAATGGAACCCCGTGATCACGAACCCAAAAATCGAAAAACTTATGAATCACTAACTCGGTGCGTGCCTCTGCAAGCAAAGGAACAAAAACTGCATATTTATTGAATCTATCAACTATGACCATGACTTGGCTCTTGTCGTGCCTGCTCTTGACACCGGCGTCCATGAAGTCAATGGAGACTGAATCTCCAGGTTGGTTTGGGATAGGCAAGGGTCTGAGAAGACCTAGAGGGGCACGCATAGTGGTCTTGTTCCTCTGGCAAACTTTGCAACTGCGAACATACTCTATGCAGTCAGCTTTCATTCCTGGCCAGGTGTATGCATGCATCAGATTGGCCAAAGTCTTTTGCCAACCGAAATGTCCCTCTGTATCGTGGCATTCCCCTAGGATCAGACCTCGGATCTCTTCGCTGTTGGGGATGCACAGGCGGTCTACTACATCAGTCTTCTCAAACAACAATCCTTCTGTAGTGCGGTAGTGTGGTTCGGTCTCGGGGGCCTCCTTAACTCTCTTGAGGAGGTCGCTATAGATAGGATCCTGTGCATACGCCTGTCTAACTTTCTCTTGCAGGTCCTTCCCTATATCCAGATAGTGTACTAAAGCTCCAAAGCAGTCTGATCTCCTACTTACAGCATCCGCAACTACATTGTACTTGCCTTTGACCGATTTGAGCTCAAAGTCATATTGGTCTATCTCAGTGGCCCACCTAGTCAACTTAGGTGTCATTTTGGCCTGGGTCTTCAACCATCTAAGCGTTTCATGGTCCGAGTATTCTTTGAAGTGCCTCCCAAGCAGGTAATGCTTCCAGTGCTCTAAGGCCTGCCTGAGAGCGTAGAGTTCTCTCTCATATGTCGAGGTAGCGACCTTCTCTGAGGGCATCCTCACTAACATGAACTCTACGGGTCTGTAGCCATTGCCGTCGTCCTGCTGTAACACGCGCCTATACCATACTGACTTGCGTGCGTGGTGACGACAAATGGCAAAGACAGATAAGCGACTTTGAGGACATGATATTCTATTAACGCGCGCTTCAATTTCTTTAGCGCAGGCGTACAGTCTTTATCCCATTGCCAGATTGCCTCTTTCTTAAGCAACCTGCGCAAGGGAGCAGCGATGGTGGAGAAGTTCCTCACGAACTTTCTATAATAGTTAGCTAAGCCCAGAAACGACGGCAACTCTGTCAATGTACGGGGCATCGGCCAGTCTCTAATTGCCGCTATCTTACTGTCCTCAGGTTTGATTCCATCTCCGTCTAATACGTGGCCCAAGTACAAAACTTGTGTCTTGGCCCACTCGCACTTCTTCGCGTTGATCTTGAAGTTAGCTTCTCTGAGCTTCTCCAAGATCTGCCTCAAATGACCCTGGTGCTCTTGGAGGGTCCTACTGAAAACTAATATATCGTCTAAATGCACTACGACGAAAGTATCTAGCCAAGGCCTAAACAGGTCATTCATACATCGCTGAAATGTGGCTGGCGCATTGGGCAGTCCAAAGGGCATCACTATAAACTCATAATGCCCATAACGAGTCCGGAACACAGTCTTGTGCTGGTCATCAGGATGGATCTCTATCTGATGATACCCGAACTTCAAATCTATCTTGGAGAAATACTTACAACCCTACACTCGATCTAAGAGATCGTCTATCATGGGCAGTGGTTCAACATTCTTGACAGTGATAGCATTCAGACCCCTATAGTCTATACACATAGG